ATTAGCCAGCGCTAGTGCCTCCTCCCCCCCCCCCCCAGGGGCACAGGAACCCTCCAGCAGAGCCGAACCAGTGCGGGTTAGTGAGACAGCATAGCGTGCTCTCATTTACTCAGTTAACGTCAGAGCACGCCAACCCAGCGCATCATCTAAACTGAAAAGGACGACGTGGACAAGCTCTTTTTGGGATGTGTTCCCTCCTGAAGCCACGTACCTCCAGGATTCCTGCATGGATATTCAACCTCCCTGAAAAGTTCCTCACTGCAGACACGGAAGAGCGCTTTAAAGATTTAAGATTCCAGCATTCTTTGTTTGTTTTCTACAGTGGATGAAGAGAATACGTCGAAAGGCATAAAACGAGGCTTGATGCTTGCGCCAGAGCACCTAACACACACGACAAGTTACCACAGTCATCGACAGTCATAAACGCGGATTTGCTGCGAAGAACACCTCGTTGCACTATCAAGAACAAATCTTTTCGCTTACCTTATTGCCATTTCGTATTCAGCTCAGAGCGCAGGGGTTTGGGCCGACAGTGGTGTAGGGGGGGCACTTTCCATAAGAGTCATCCAGAGAGTTATTTCATGAGCTTACACGACCTGACAGGTTTTACTATGGTGGCTCGACAAGCATGCTCCAAGCTCCACAAAATCACAGGTCTCATCAGAGTGAGGCTTCCAAGCAGGAACCAGCGAAGCAGCGCAACTGCAATATGCCCCTCCCGGTCGCTGAGCTGCGCTCGGTTTCTTTAGGTCTAGTTGAACGTCCGTGCAATCGAAACGAGGCGTGTCTGGAGGCGCTGAATGGAGCTCCCATCGCCTGCTTTCTTCCGAGGTGAGCTGGTTAAGGCAGAAAAACAACCAGTAAGGCAGAAAACAACCAGTAGAAGAGAACGTCGCGGGCGGGCCCATTCCACGGCTCCTTACACTGTATAGGTTTTCAATGATATCAGCTGCAATTGCCCCTATCGGTGTCGTAAGTATGCCTGGAGAGCAGGGTGCTGTTCCGGCCTCATTAGAATCCAAGACGTCCTTGATCAGCTGATGAGATGATACCGCTCGACAAAGGAGTAAAAAGGCCTCATATCAGCACAAACTGAACCCGATCGCGCTGTAGAACTCCAAGCTGACAAGGTGCAGCGCTCTGGGCATCTTGCTGCCAGCCTAGGCAAATACCGCTGAGGGCTTTATTAAGGCCATGAGCTTTCTGTGAGAGGGGGATCAGAAAAACAAAACAAAAGAAATGTTCAGAGTGATATGAACATTGATAGCAAGGAATAATGTTATCTGCCGGTGAGAATGGATTTGCGGGGGAAGCGGCTGGCTGCTGCCAGGCGAGAGTGTAAAGCTGTCGCTGGCAATAGCACGGCTTATCGTGTACACTCACACCCTCACGCCTCTCTAGCCCATGGGTCACTTCTTCAAGCATCATGTCGTTTCGTAAAAATTCCAATGTATTGGTTTTGATGGTCGTAGAGTGGCACATTGAGCTGCAGCTGGTCTTGTCAGGTTTTGCGATCGTGGGATGATGACTGGCACCGGGCTGCCGAAAATATGTCCTTCATCCTCGAAAAGTGCTCACGTACGAAGAAAAATGGGTTAGCCTAGAGGTCACTGAGAGAAATCTTCACTGTCAGGCTTATCACACATCATGTAAAATTGAGAATAAGTTCATCTGAACAGGAATCTGGACAATTCCGCGACGGAGGGGGCATTTTGCACTTTCGCTGCTCCACTAGTTCCGGTTCGCATGTCTCACTCTGGTAAAACCTGTGAACTCTTGTGAAGCTGGAGCAAGCTCGTCGAGCCATCATGGTAAAACCTGTCAACTCAAGAAAAGGCTCTCTAGATGGGTCGACACGTCGATGGGAAGTAGCAAAAGTGCAAAATGCCTTCTCCCCGTCGGTTTTCGGAACGGCTCTTACTGTGGAAACAGGGTGCTTGGCAACAATCAAAGGAAAGCCCAAAAGTATGCTAAGGAGAGGGCGCTTTAGCGCAAATCAGTAGGTGAGGTCTCCTTTTCTCCAGGTGCTCCGCCTCCAGACGATCGGCTAGAGGGCCGCCTTCTAGAGAACAAGCGCAGGAAGGAAAAGCATAAAATCCTCACTGCATGGTGTTAGAGTTCTTATTCGAGAGCAGGCGGGGCGGAGTGAGGGCGTATGTATGAAGATGACTTACTGGGCACGTACAACTTGGGATTTGGAAACTGGGGTCTAATTTAGGGCAGTAGGCATGTGTTTTTCTGCTTTTTCTTCACTGTGGAGTTAGTCAGAACCTTTCGTCTATATATGAACTCCTGCACATAAGTGCAGGAGTCCTATGATATAATACGAAACAGTTGCAGTTGCACATAGTGCATGACCATCACAAGGCTTTCCTATCTTCCGTTCCGCTATGTCGGTCAGTGACAACCCACGTACATATGGCACGGTACGATGTCTGTGTGGTGAGCCACTCATTCGTGTTGCTTCAGCGTGGACGCGAGGGTTGAGGGGCTGAGGGGGGGTTCAAAGCCTTCGAGACTGCGGAATGTTGATCTCTTCGCCGGGAGGTTTCCCTATCCGGGGCTTTTGGATGTGCTGCAACTAGCCTGGGCACTTTATCGGACAGAACAAAGCCCTTTACATCTTCTTCAACGAGACGGAAGAAAATCCGGAATAAAATCCACCGATTTACAAAAGCAGATTCCAAACAGAGTCCCATGGCGCAACCAGTGCTTATACTGCATAGTAGTACAGTGCACGGCTCAAACGATTTACTAAATCCCCTCATTTCCTAACGTTCTTTCACAAGCAGGACACTGGCCCTGTTCTCATGCTGTATTCAATGGGATTGCGACCCTTGAAGGGTCGTTGCGATCTGATTCCACTTATTCCGCGAAGATGAGGTGCTGCAAGAAGTTATCGGATTCTGCGAATCCGAAGTTCTTGGTTGATTAGTTCGCAAGCGCTGATTAGTTTGGGCGATTGTTGTTCGAAGAAGGAGAAAGCCTGGAGGATTCCCACACTGAATGTAATTTGCGACGTCGTGAATCGTGTCCGCTTTCAATAGAAACTCCTCCTGAAGAAAACAACGAAATGCTTCAGACGGAACAAGTCGAGACGTTAGGCCGTTCAATAAAAATTTCCACCTGGAAACCTCGAGAGGCACAGCAATATAAGCACAGTAAACAGAAATGCCTTCTGAGTGTGAAAATATAACGAAGAACTTCATCGCAAGAGACTCCGAAATTCCAAGAGAGAACCCACATATTTTTAATCCCTTCTCCGGATATCCCATGCATAGCACCATCCTCAGCGACCTGAAATGCTGCATTTACCTGCCTCGGATTAACCTGGACTCTGCCGATCGAGGGCAGCTAACTGCAGTATTTCACATCGCTGAGGAATGTGCTAAACAGTGAAATATGCGGGGGAAGGAATGAAAATTAAAGTGAAAGTTTTTGCAAAAATTTTTTGGATCCTTTCGTAATTTTGCGGTCTTTTGCAATAAAATTTCTGGTGTCGCTTTATATTTTACATTCAGATTCGAATGAGGCTCCGGGACAGCACAATACCAAGAAATGCCTTCTGTGTGACGTGACTCTCCTTTTTTAGGTTTCGAAAACGAATTTTCCGCTGAATGAATGGGCGGAGGTAAGGTACCATTCTGCCTTCCTCGCTGATGCGCTCCTTGTATTTGTCGTCTTGGAAAGGAGAAAGGCATCTTTGGTGAGGCACAATGGTAGGCCTGGTTCCAACCATGAATTCCCCGTACTATGCCTGTAGGGATTCAGCGAGGGAGGAATTGTTGAGTTTTGGCTGCAGTTTGTAGTAAATCTCAAAGGAAAAATGAATTCCCTAGTCTTTTCAGGATGGCTTTCTCTTCAGAGCAAACGCGGCCTGCGATGGGATCACAGTCGAGGTTGTCTTATTAAAGGCAGTTGGCACGATGGTTTCCCACTCGGCCTAAAATGCTAGTAGGGCGCTATGTAGTGGGGAAATGGCGAAAGAACGGAGTGAAACGGTCAAAATCCGGCGAAGAAAAAGCCTCCGTTCTCAGTGACTTGAATCGATTTCGGACGAGTTTCCCGTACGCATCTTGCCAATCACCGCTATAGAAGATACGGCTGCATATGTGTACCCATATATGCGCAGCATCACGGCCGCTTCATACCAATCCCTTTGCTTCATAATTTGCTCAGCAAATGAATGAATACGAGCGTCCGTTTGTGGGCGGGCGGGCAAGGAAGGCGTTTGGGACGGAATGTTGTTGGTCGATAGGGCGTTTCAGGGGTAGTACCTCTTCTTGGAAAAGGCTTCACGCAGCGCCTGTCCGAGGTCACGGAATTCTGTTAAGCCAGTTGTACAAATCCTACACCTGTATAGCGATTTATCGTGCCAACTGCCTTTAAACACTACATACAATTAAACAAACAACAAATTATTCATTCCAAGGATCACATTTGAACGGCGCGTTCTATAGACAACAACCGGAAAACCGCACCACTTCATTATCTAACTAGCAAAATTTGTTTAATTCCAAAAAAGCAGGACTACAATGACGGAGTCAGTTTGGCGATATGACCGGAGGTGGCAAAGCATCGCCGCTTTCACCGTAAACTCCTTTGATTCGCTGCGTCGCTGCGCGACGATTTCTCGCCGCGATTCGATCTGCTTCACCCTGAAAGTCGGAGTTTTTAGAGTGAAAGAAAGTCTAAATGATGTTACTAAGATTTCTCTCCTTCTCGTTCCCACTAATTACTGCCCTTACTGATGAGGGCAGACAGTACTCGAGTTTTTCTACTAATGCCTCAATCCACATTGGTCGTCTGGACGGAGTCTAGCCTACCGCTGTGCTTGCCTCACTTTTTTGTGTCCCTTTGCGCCGAAACAGCAAAAGGAGCGCCAATGGGGTGGCAGGACTGACCCCGCCCATTTCTCTCTGTTCAGTATGGACCGTGCCTTTGACTTTATTGACGACACCCTCATGCGCTTTGTGCATTTTCCTATTATTTTTCATTTTTTATTTCTTGGAATAGTCATGTTGGGCAAAAAGCGTAAAACTGCCCCTTTTCGCCTCTGAGTTCCATTGAGCTTCCCTCGAACTTATTTGAGTCAAGCGTACCTTTGCGTTGTGTGTCTCTTTCTCGATTTCGGCGATTTCACGCTTACGGCTTTTATGAGTGGCACAATAGCATAGAAGAAGCAAAATCAGAGCCAGATATTCAATTACAGAGATGATGCTCATGCCAAGGAACAGACCAACTTGACCACCAGCATCTGACACCATATTCACCAACTGAAACAGAACAATTTCTTCTCCAATCTCAAGGAGGAACAGACCAATGATACCGTGTAAGCCGGCGATTCCGTAAGCACTTGGAAGTTCATGCGCTCGTAGTAGATCTCAACCAGAAGAGTGTTCTTCCGGTACCACTCCCCACAGCTTACTCCTGGCGTATTCCACGCCGCTCCAGTATTGTTTTTCTGGCATTCTTGGGGCTGAAAATGTAAAGAGTATTAAGTTCCTCATACGGGTAAGGTTGCATGGAAAATTCGACACTTTTCAGCTTGGGAGGGGCATTTTACACTTTCACTAGTTCCATTTTAAGCTCGTGTCAGATAACAGGTATCATACTGATGGAACCGTTAAACTCTTGTGAAGGGGCGAAATGATACTCAGAGTTAATTTGATTACAGGATTTCACAGGTTTCTCAAGGTGGACTGTGTAGGCTTCGCTAGTACCATTTTCTGCCCCCACCAAGCCGAGCTGTGCCAAATTACTGCTCATATTGCTGTTATACATCCCGAAACTTTCTCTATTTTGAAAACATTTTGGTGCTCAGCACCTTCGTCAGTGCTGGCGAGTATTAAAAACGCCTTGACGAAAGACCCTACGCACTCAAAAATCAAATTCCGCATTGAATTGGGCAGTTTGAATGTGCAGTCTCTGAAGCTGTCCGTCCCCTTCATCCCCCCCCCCTTTTAAACTTGCAAGACAGAGGGTGGGATTAGGGGTGAGGGAGTAGCATTTTGCAGAGTTTTTCAACAGGGCACGTCGCAGTTTCTTGTGGGGATCTCCTGACCGGTCGGTTGCGTTTGTACGGTGGAGGGGTCGTTCTTGTCGGGGTCCTAGTTTGCATTGTGAACATTTTTGTTCGGTTCTTGGTTTTTTTTCCTGTCTCAGATACGGTTATAGTGTTACGGCCTCTCTTTCCTTCCGGCCCTGCAAGCTCACGAAAGCATCGAGAGAGGGCAGCGGGACAAATAGGAAGAAAGTTCTGAGAATTCAGGGGATATCGGGCAGGTATTTTGGCAGGTGAAGCATGCAGCCGGGAAGGTCGTAATGAAGGAGGACATATTTGAAGGAGGGATTGTATTACAAAAATATGCAAATTATTGTGCCCTGCTCGCTGGCAGTGGGGGCGTGCCGGCTGTTTTTCAACTGATGATGTCTTTCTGGTTTGTAATATCATTTGCCTCATAAGGACCCCTCTGTGGAGAGAAGGTGAACATCGAAAACGAGGCTTCACCTCCAGCAGTTTCACTCGAAATTTCAAATTTAATTAATTAATCGCTTACCGTGTGAGCAGTTGAAGGCCACTTTGCTGTGGATGCTGTCACCGAGTATGATTCCGCGAAGCCTGAACACGTGTCGCATGATAGTATGGCTCAGAAAACACGCACCATCAGTGCGCATATCGAAGGGCGAGAAAGGGGCGTCCCTGGCGGCGAACGCACCGGCCGCTTTCTCCTTATACATCACGTCTCTTGCCGCCTTCTTACGGCCCGCAGAGGCTTGTACCCTCGTCATCCGGGCAGTGATTGGGCAGTCGATCAACAGGCGCAGTACGCAGGCCTGCAGCAGCGACCGGGGTCGTGCTATTTGGGAACGTATTGTGCTTTTTCCGGCCGTAATTTAGTCTATTGTCCTACTTTTCACTTGTTTTTGGCTGCTTTTTCCAAAGATTAGTGCAGTTTTGCCTGCCGTGTGCTCTCCATACTATGGCTGAATGATGATATGGATCTGGAGTGTGTTGTTTTCATGAGGACGGTGACCGCCAACATATATGCGATTAAACAAAAATTAGACTAAATGGCCTGAAAAAAATCGGCAAAAAGACAGCAATTAGCGAAGAGAAATATAAAAAGTTAACGAGTTCAAAGCTTATATCACAATAACGTAAATAATCTTGGAAAAAATAGGAAATACAGTGAAAATTAGGGAGGAAATCGCTAAATTAGGGTGGAAACAGCTGATCGCCGCGGTCCGGTTGACCGCGGCTGCAGCCGGTGTCGCGACCCTTGGGGTCGGCTGATCAAGTGCCCGGATGACGACGATATGAATGTTACCCTGTCCACTTACTCGCATGGTTGTGGGCAATCGCAATCTCGTGATGTGAAGTTGTTGAAGACACGTGTGAATCGCGCATTTTTCAAGGCGATGTCGATGCAGGCTTCCTGAAAGTGATAAAGTTTTTACGCGAGGAATTTTGGCCACTTGGGACTATTTTGGCAAATCTTGCCGTTGGTCCTAGCTGCTAGATTGCAGTCCAGAAGTGCATTTGATCTATTTCGGAACAAAACTACGGCCATCTATCAGGTGGCGAATGCACTGACAGGGGGGGGGGAGACGAAGAGCAGGTGTGATGCTTCAGCCGGACACATAGAAAAGCCGGCCTATGGCCGCTAGGGATCAGGGTAGCAGTAGATTATAACTGGTTCCCGTCTACTGTTCTGGAGAACTCCGCTCCGCATCGATCACACAATACTATCTCCAAGACGCGTGGGAATGGGAGGGAGGGGCGGGGGGGGGGTTGGCTGGAGTAGGTAGCCATCTGGGAGTAAGTGAAGCCCGTGAAAGGGTCTCAACACCAGTAAAGTAATTCGGAGGCCTTTAAAGATGACCCCTCCTCCAGCGACCAGAAGACGACCCCCGTACACGGCTCAGTTGGGAATGACACTGCTGTCCTGGCTTTCCGGGTACGGTCGCGTCGGGGTTTGGAGGTTCCGGTCGGCGTAGCGGTTGACGAACATGGACATAGTACCTTCTCTGGCTAGCTGACACCTGACCGCAATCAAAGCCATGCAGGTTCCTGGTGCTTTCATTCATGTGGCCTAGCTTGCAGTGCCTCCTCCGCCGCTCTCCAGCTTGAGCACCCTGTGCCACTGAATCAGGGGAAACGGGTAAGAGAATCGTGAATCGCAGTTTCGTCGCGCGCGGCAATGGGAGCGACAATTCCTTAATTTGCGCTTCTTTCGATTGGAGCATCGGATTCCGTGTAGACAAGAACATGGTAGATAATTACGTCTATTTCTGCCTATTTTCGACCACTACCAGCTGAGATCGTGGTCATTAACGGACGCGACGTCGCACGCGGCGCCCACTGGCGCGGCGGATTATCGATTCTGTTGCGCACACTAAATTAGAGTTTTTACGAAAACAGGCCTGGTGCAGTAACCCAAACGCCCAGTGGACTATGTGCGAGTGGACGCGTACAAGCCACTCAGTTTTGGCCTCGGGTGTGTAGCAACAGAATCGCCCGGTCAGGCTGGTGGAGTGTCCTGCAGCAAATACTTGTGGCGAGAAGACGAAGCGTGCTTTGGCGGTTTGAATAGGGTTATTGAAGGGAAGGTAAATATTGATATCACCCAGGATCGAGTCTTGTGTTCAGTTACGGTTAAGTTTTCAGTTAGAGTATGAAAAGTTCAATAGAGCACGAAATTCATTGGGGTCTTTAACATTTGCTCTGGTTTGTCATCTTTTACAGCAGCTCACAGAAAAACTTGGCCATCCATCTATTACATACTGATGCAGGGCGACTGCGTGAATCCCAAAATGGGTGAAGACCCCACAGAAACATAGGGCAGAATCACTACGCCTATGATTTTTTTTTTGTTGTTATGTTATATTTCCCTGAATTTGCGTTTATCGGAGCGCACGCAAACAGTTGCGCGCTTTTTACTATCAAGGAAAAACATCATTAGTGCTAGATGTTGCGGATGTACGCTGTACTAAATAGAAACAAAGAAAAACAAACATTGGGGAAAGGAATACACTCCAAGTCGCAGAGCTATCGGCTCGCAAACGCACGCAGCTGAGTCATTCGCCTGGCGACGCGTCGCGTCCCGCGCGCGCTGTCCCGGACGATTCTGTTGCACGTTTACTTTTTGGCCTAGGCAGCTTCCGGCCACCAATGGAGGAAGAGGAAAACCGTATGGAAGAATAAAACCGCTTGATGAATCAATGATGAAACGTACATCTGCCAAGTTGGCAAAAGATGTATAACACGAGCTATTGGACTTGAGTAACTAAGCCGGCTCGCGGTATGCACAGCTTTGAGGAAAGCATTTCATTTCATGCGCAGTTTCGGGGTTCTGTATGCCGCCTATTTTTAAGCATAAAATCTTGTCTCCGTGCAGGCTGTGGAAGATGGAAACTTTTGGCGAAGAATTCAGAAACAATGTTCGATGAAAGTGGAATAGCATTTAATTTCCTTAAATTTTTAAGTGGACTCTTCTATTTAAGCTTCTTCAGGACTCATGGATTTTTCCTTGGCTCGTTGATTAAGGGGATTAAGTGTGCGTTTGAGTGTGCCCATATTCTGCAACGTTTCATCAGATGGTGCAAGTAAGGCAATTAATTCGGGCGCCTAAAATCAATACGCACTTCCAGTCAGATTGAGATCTGGAGATAGTCACACTTACAGTTTTCCGATTGATTTCCAACCGCACAACTCGGTGTGGCTCCACCGTCATCCCCATGACGATAAGCCGGATCGTAGCACTTGCAGTCGGTTATGATTCGTTCTTGAAGGCAATTGCGGAAACAGGACTCCATCTGTAAAAAGCTCATTAAAAAAGGCACAAAAAGGGCGAAACAAAAAGGGTAATAAACTGGCAGGGAGATCTTGCCGTTCAAAACTTCAGCGTTACTATATTTGCCCGTACTCAATGCATTGCATTGCAGTGTTGTCCTGCGTGTAAGGTACTCGTAAAGGGAGTGGCAAGTCTGCTTGCCATGATGAATCGAACACCAGGGAAGTGGCTGTTCCTGGAGCAGCGAAGTAACCAAACACGTCCGGGAACGGTACTTCGTCCTGAAATGAGAACACAGCGTGAGAGTGGATGGTTAGTAGAATAAGCAGGTAAGCCATAGGAGAGCAAAGCAAAACGCGCCCTTACTGAAACGGAAAATCGTTTTTTGGCAGTAAAGCCTAGAGGTCAGGGGTGACCATGAAGCTCTGGAAAGCCCCCTCTAAAAACGCCAAAGTCCGGCCATCTCTTGAATTTCGACATCGCAGGTCTTTGAAATAGGCTATAATATTTGTTACCGTGGTCAAAAGACAGTATCGCAGGCGTGGCTGTGTAGCGAGAACATGAAGGAAAAGCAAACTTAAACAGCTGAAAACGGACGAAAAAGCTTTTTTGCACGGCACTGGACGAGCAGTTTTGGACGAGTTTCCTGTGCTATCGAGCCAGCAACCGCTTTGATATATACGGCTGCACGCATTTATTCATATCAGGGATGGCATGTTGCACCTTGGTCAGGCGCTATTACTGTGCCCTTCGTTGGAAAAGGCGCCGCGTGGCGCTTTTTGAAGGGCCTAATATTCTTTCGTGCTAGGCGTATCCACCCTACACGGCTTTTCGATTTATTCTGTCACTTGCCTTTAATTAAATCATCAGCGGCGCGCTTGCGGCGCGTGTTGGGTGACGTCACACTGATTTTGGAGAGGACCGGTGGCCTACATTCTGTACAGCCAAGAATGATCGTAACTTCGCACCTAATTTCATTGCGTAGCTACCCCTCCTCCACCTTGCAGGCCGTAGATAAATCGCGCAATGTAAGAACGAATTATACAACTAGTTGTGATTACATTTTACTTGCCTGCCTACACAATATTAATTTCCATAACAACTCCCTCCAATAACAAAAAAAATCAAATTAAGTTAATACGTAATATGATAATATTACGGTATGTATGGTTGGACAGGAAGTCCTGAACAGTTGCAGAGAAAAGTCAAAATGTAATAATCGAATAAATGAAAAATCGAAATTTCGAATGCTTCTGCCTCGATTACTGCATAATGTTCTTTAATGTTCCTGGAGCGTTATGGCTTCGTGGAACCGTGCAGATGGGGCTTTTGGAGCTCAAAGCCCCCCCCCCCCTCCTTGCGTCACCGCACTTTTCAGTCTTCTCTACATTATGAGACCCTGGAAGGCAGTTCCCCACATGCGGAAGCTATTCAAAAGCCCCCTTCCAGTGCACCTTTATGGTATAAGAGTCATAACCCCCATAAAACGAATAGCCTGATGTCAAACCTTGCCATGAATGGACATAATGACTCCAGCAGTTTCTGTCCACGGCAGGTACTTTGCCTGATCAGTTCGGATCACCATTCGAAGACCGTAGAGAGGTCCTGCTCTCGACGAATTCTTGGTTCCATCAAAGTTGAACATATGACAGACACCGTAAGTCGGATCGTAGAACTCTTGAAAATCCCTGAAATCGGTAACTTCTCTGGAAGAAAGTTTAGGCAAGGAATGTATAAGGACTCACGTCACATTGCAAGACTGAGCGTTGTAGGTGCAGCTGATGACGAGGTCATCGTATGTGTACGCATGTTGCGCACCCTGTAAACTAGTACTTCTTCTGCAGTACTTTTCCTCTCGGTAGAATTCAGAGCAACCGTTCAATTACGAGCTTCTTCTTTTTCAAAAATTCTTCGCTAGTGAACTGCTTAATTTCATCGGGCAATGCGCAGCGGTAGCGCATAGCGACTCGCATGCATTAAGGTGGGACTTCTTATTTGAATTCACTGGGCCTCGCATGTGGGCTAGCGATTATGCGTGGGACGGGTCGTGCTCATACGCAGAGCACCATAGGACGGGTTTGACAGAGTAAAGTCCAAATGTAATTGGGTGCATCGGATCCACTGCCAGGATGACGCGAATTTACTGTGTCATTCACTACTTTGGCGGCGCTGTTTGTCGATTCGGAGGGGGGGGGGCATTTTGTACTATCATTGCTTCCTCAGTTCCAGTTTACATGTCTTACACTGGCGAAACCTGTGAACACTTGTGCAGCTGGAACAAGGTAGTCAAGTCATCTTGTTAAAACCTGTCAACTCGAGAAGAGGCTGTCTAGACAGGCCGACACGTCGTTGGGAGGTAGCAAAAGTGCAAAATGCCCCCTCGTCGACAAACTGCGCCTACTTTGGCTATAGTACCTGAGATTTTAGCACGAAAAACTTTCGAGACGCTCTGGATATTGTCTGGGGACCCTTAGAAAAGGATGAATTGCTTGCCATAACCCGTGACCTTGCACCTTTTCTCGACCTCCCCAGATTTTGACCTCTTACGAAAAGAAGAAGAGAAGGTTGAATTAGTCGTGCTGTTCAACCGTAGGCTCTTCTATTGGGTGGTCGCCACCGGTTTTCGGTGACAGAACATTAGATAAGCCTGCTAGCACCCTCCGTTCTACCCATACCCTGTGTGGGCTTATCAAGCAGACTATTCCCAAATGTTTTCCTAGGTTTCGCAGATTTCAAGGGAAGGCCGAAAGAAGGCCAAAAACGGTTCGACGAATCTTGGGAGTCTATAGAGCTTCGTGCTGCTTCTAAACCATGGTAGCGGGTCTGCTTAAATGAACGATGATGAAACATGGCTCACTGCCCAACCCCTTTCCGTCAAGCTTCCAAAATGTTATCTGATTGTGAACTCACCGGCGCCTTACTTGACGAATAGAGGATTTCACTCATCAGAAGAGTGAATTTTGTGGCACTTTGTTGACGTTCGCCGTCGAGACGTCCGCTAAAACCGTAGTCGGCATCCTCGGTGCCAGCTACGTAAGCATCTACCTGAAAAGGTTCTACTTCAGAGTCGAAATAAGGACCATCTGTTCAGCTCCACCAATCTTCTGCGGGTACGGCTACGCCACTCTCGTCCCTCTTCCACGCATTGAGATGGCACAATGTGACCGTGGCAAATTCACGATCCGAGAATTGTAGCTTAAAAAACGCGAAATTAATATTTCGCGCTGGCCCAGTCTCGAGATGCGAAACAGATGCTGCTTCCGTTCGGTAATGTAGTGGCATTTGGAATGCAACATTACCTAAACAATAACCAATCGGTCTGAGCGATATGGTCGACGTTTTCGACCTCCCAGACGAATTTTCGGCACCACTCAAGGAACCCCGATGAGATGGAAGGCTTGGCTGGCCCGGGCGCAAACCTACCGGAAGTTCGACCTCTCTTCGTTTTCACAGTCACCGTTATCATCTGGTGCTGCATTACTCTGTAGAAAAACATGTCGATAATGTAGCGCTTTTCAGTTGCATAACCCGGGTTAATCCTTAACGATTGGGGTGACGCTTGATTGCAAGTAACAACCACCCTTGGAGTTACCCTGCCCCTTCACTTCCGAGTAGTGATGCACTTCTACTTAATAATGAACATTAGGGCCATAAGGGCGATAAACAAAATGAGCAAGAAGGCAACCAGATTACACAGTGAAGCTGATAAGCCTTCTTTGTTGCGGATCATGGGACGTGTCAGGAGGGGGGAAGGGTTTGGCGCGGCGCCAGCCCATTTCCTCTCTTCTTCCTCGGCAAGCGACACAACTCCGCCATATCGTTGGTATCAGTGTTTTCTTCGAATCAATCGCGTTACCCGGTCAGCACTGTGGAGGCAGGTTGGCGCGCGCCCAGCTCTAGGCCTCATTGACACGCCCCGTCATCACCAGGAGTATAAGACTGTACATGGATTTTGGATTGTGACATATGAACATAGGAGTGCGATTTTGACAACCTTCCCGGGTATCCCCATGCGCTCTTTGGGTATTACACAGTGTTAAATATGTTTGCCCTACTGTTACCCCTTTGGGCGAGAATCTCAAAGTACGTCAGATACAGGGACGGGGCCCAGAGCAGGCAATCAAAAGGCTATCTTCAAAACTGGGACTACCATAATAAGAAAGATGTTCCTATCTCACAGTTATCAACTAGAGCTCTTGTACCGTACCTCGGTCTCGGTGTTGACATTATAAGCGAGATAAGTATTAAGAAGCGTAACGAACTGCCAAATGAAGGCACCGATGCAGATCAGCACAATAATTATCCATGTAATCCTGGAACCACAGCAATTATTCTCATATTTTCATAGGAAAAAATGCAAAGGATGAAAATTCGGCTCCGATCCAACTAGGTTGTGAATGCGCCGTGCATTCTACCTCCCGTCAGAGTTGTGGTCGCTTCTGAGTCTTTTTCTTGGCATCTTGGTTTCCTTCAAGCCAAGTAACGATTTTGTGGGGCTAATCGATGCACCTGGATGCTTTCCCCTCCCAACCAAAATAATACTAGCCATAGCGCAGGAATGAAATGATTAGTTGCAGTCTAGTGTTTAATCACCTCACCAGAGGGTGGTAGGGCCTCCACTTAGAACTCTGGGGCCGCGACCTCCAGCACTAGCTAGGGTCTCCTAATCCTACCATACCCGCCATCACCCGAAGGACCCTCATCTGGGAAGTTGTCTTCTCGAAATCACAACCTATGATTATGTAAGGTAATTTTTTGATAGACGAACTACGCCAGCACTTACCGTAGCCATCGAGCATTTGCGAGGCCAATATGTGGAATACCGTGTGTTGATGTCCACCAGGAGAAGTCGTGAAGAATGAAGACGAGCCCTTTTGTAAAGATCGTCATCTCGCCTCCCTTACCCACTCTCTCTATCTTCTCTTTGTTTGCCGGTTTTTCAGACTTGTCCGCAGGTTTTTCAGTCTTGTCCACCGGTTTTTCAGTCTTGTCCGCAGGCTTTTCCGCCTTGTCCACCGGTTTTTCAGTCATGATTCCTGGAAAGAGGCATAGAAGTCGCTGCTCCAAAAAAGAAAAACTGAAACGAATTTCTGACGAGAATAGTAGAAAATAGGAGATTCCCCCTTTCACTCCCACCCAGAAAGGAGGAATCAGACTGCACCACGCGTTCGTTTAGGTTGCGCTTTGTACTCGACTCTTTCTGAGTCCCCTACCACGACTTCAAACCCTAGCTGGCACGACCTATAGCCATAGCCTCGGAGCTTAGGGTAAGGGCAAGTCTAGTTCAGTTTAAGAGCTGCGAAAGCCTTGTCTTGCAGATATCATACGATTGCCCTCAGTGCTTACAAAAAGGTGTCAGGAAATTAGTTATCATATTACCAAGAAGCCCTGCTTTCCGTGAGATTTTCGTGTATGTTCGTTTCCCTTCCCTTTTTCCTCCCACTGTTCTTATTGCGGTGAGTGTGACTCTCCCACACTTCTTCACCCACTTTCCCCACACTTGTTCACTTTCATTTACCCTCAACGAGTGCGGGCCAATGAATTCGCGATGGGATTTTCACCTAAGTAGCTAGTAACGCGTGATTTTCACCCAAGTAGCTATTCCAACTAATTGTGCCACTTACTGTTTAGTCTTCCTTCCTGAACCTTCAATCCCAGGGAACGCTGGGAACAGGTGGACCTCACTTGTGCCACAAAAGGGATGTCTAGCTGGCCCACAACTGCAACCATCTCAGCGCTGATGAACGAGGACTGGGTGCCTCAGCAGTGCCACTTGCCGCCTATGTATTTCTATTGGCTTCTTTCGAGAAGGCTATGTGGAGTAAAGTAGCGTTTGGCCGGCTCAACCTTGTCGTAAGGGTGACCTGCCTCTACAGCGCCGGAATCGAAGGTTTAAATGGTAGAAGATCTGTTCTTCACCTCTGTAGGTTTCGCCAAAGCATAATACTCTTCAGCGGGTCCACTAAGCCCACGTAACTGCTAGGGTATCAGTACACATCTCCAAGCGGAGTACCGTTTCATCACCCTTTCATGGATACTTTTGTCTGTCTAGCCCAAGCTCCCTTAAAAAAATTTGGCGGGTGGGGGTGGAGTATAGGGCACGTGGTGCCCATAAAACTTGTGGAATGCAAGGCTTAAAAGAGTTTCTCACCCTGCGTACGACCGCCCATAGCAACCCACCAAACCCGACCTTCTGATGGGATTCCCACAATGGGTGTTCTCCCTCACTATCGCCTTGCAAGCGTTCTTTCCAGACTTTGGCGCTCAGCGCTTATCACTCTCTTATCAAAGCAGCTGCTGGAATTTCTCAACTGTAGAAAAGTAGTGGAAATACTGATGGATTCCATTTCAATGAGCGATGCTGATGTTTTGATTCGTTCCTGTTCTAATTAGTGCCATATAGTGATATGCGTCTCATCCACTACACAACGTGCTCATAGATCCGCATAATATGCCCCCATTAAAAACGATGCTTCGTGTCCCAAGAAAACAAAGAATTTAAGAGATATGAATTGTTGAAATGTGTTGTAAATAAATTTCAACGGATTGTAAAAGTCTCACTATGCTAGACAGAATTGACGGAAGCACCAGCCTCCATAAGAAATTGCGTAAAAAAATACACGCAGGGGTCACTGGTCGCGCTCAAAGCGCCCCATTTTTTTGAGAAATCACCTCAATAGGAAATTCCAACAAAAGAGCTTGTGCCTAAGGAAGAGGCGGAAGGTTAGATCTTTGTTAGTTTGAGCCCGGCGCTGTTTACTCGACGGGGGGAGGGGCATTTTGTTCCAGGGTTCCAAATCTCACTTTGTAAAACTTGTGAACTCTTGTAAAGCTGGAGCAGGATCGTCTAGCCACCATCCCAAAACGTGTCAACTCGAGAAAACGCTACCTAGATGGGTCGACACATCTATGGAAAGCAAAATGCCCCCCCCGTCGATAAACTGCGCCGTTTGAGCCCTACCCAGTCGTATGATGTGATAATCAGAGAGCCTCTGTATTTGCAAAAACTATGGTACCGTTTATTTGTCCCGAATGTAAGGTTTGCTTGGTTGCGCGAGATTTATTCCAGAATTCGCCCCCTCGATGCTTGTACTAGTCCGCGCTACTAGACAGTGCCCTTCCCTCCTTCGCTTCTTCCCAGGACCACCCTGCTATTCCGTCGACTCCCAAGACATATCAATGAGTTCAAGTTGACGCACGCTTGGTGCAAAAGTCTTAAAGGATAAAGAAAAGAAGGAGCTGTACTGTTCGGGAAGGGCATTTTACTCTTTCGTTCCTTTGCTAGTTCATGTCAAGTAACAGGTCCTTTGGTAAACTCTTGTGAAGCTGCAAAGTGGTCCAAGCGAAGGACTTAGGTCACAAGAATTTACAAGTTTCACCAAGGTGGCCTGTACAGGCATCGCTGGGTGCAATTTGTAGCCCCCACCAAGGCGAGCTGCGCCAAAGAATGAAACACTTCCGCCTCTAGCTCATTTCAGGATGAAGCATGCACTCCACTTCTGTTCAGAATCGT